GGATAAATGGATTTTGGCCAGAGCAGTCTGACACATAGTAAGCTTCCAGTAAATACGTATGTTATTTGTTGAATGAGTAAACAAATGTACTGTGAATTTGAGAGTCTCTAGCAAAAGCAACTGAGGGCCTATCCTTCCAGTATTTTTCTATGTTTATATAGTTTTTACCTATAATTGTAAATCAGTTTGACAATGTTCCTTGAAAATCATATATGTATTTTTTTTACAAAATTAATATAACTTCATTATAAAATACTTAGAAAGTAGCAACAAAATGCCACCACATGACCAAAGACAGAATTACAGCATAGATTTAATTGAAAAGGAAGAGTGGCAAGGAGCTAGGTAGCACAGAGACAGCAAATTTCTCAGCCCACAGAGATCTGACACTTACATTAGGTTCTTCTCTGAAGTAAGACAGAATAAGAAGCAAATGAGGAATTGAAATAGCCAACAGCCCTTATATCTATCAGCTAAAGAGAAAGAAGAAATGGAATCTTACTATCTTCACCTTTTATGACTTTTTTCTAATTGTAAAAGCTCCATTATACCCATTGAAAAAATTAAAACTAGAAACACAGAGAAAGATAAAGATGAAGCTCTAAATTACACATAATAATGTTATTAGAAATATTTACTTCCAATATTTTGACATTTGTCCTTGAAACTCTGTGTGTTTGTGTGTGTGTATTTTTCAGTTATCTTTTTCATGAAACATTATGTGAGGAGCAACTTCCGATGTCAATAATATATTTCTACATCATATTTTGTAATTCATGATGGTAAGACTTTTCCTATGATTTCAAATTTTCTGGCAGATAACTAAATAAAATGGAAATGTGGAGGGGAATGTTTTCCTTCATCCTGCAATATTGGCTCGGCGCCTGTGGCTCAAGTGGCTAAGGCGCCAGCCACATACACCTAAAGTGGCGGGTTCAAATCCAGCCCGGGCCCGCCAAACAACAAGGATGGCTGCAACCAAAAAAATAGCCAGGCGCTGTGGCGGGCACCTGTGGTCCCAGCTACTTGGGAGGCTGAGGCAGGAGACTCGCTTGAGCCCAGGAGTTGGAGGTTGC